GCATACTGCACTTGATCTTAGCCACACCCATAAATAGAGAAATGGTCCAGATTAAAAGAATTAAAAAAGAAATAATAATAATAATAATAATAGTAATAATGATTGAACCCATCGTGCCCGGTAAGTAAGAAATGTTTTAATTCTGTTCATCTGATCCCATCTGGATTCCAACTCGGGTCTGATTCATATTTCAACCTCTTCTGTTTTTTTTTTTTTTTTTTTTTTTTTTTTTTTTTGGTACCAACTAAACTTAACAATCCAAAGGTAAAATCAAAAATTGAAACGAGGGGTCCCGTTAGACAAGGATTTTTTGGGATTTCGTGCGGAATCCTAAAAATCATCTTTTAGGATTCGTCCTAAAAGGTCTCCGGCGGCCGGCCAATGTCCGTCCAAACCCCGCCAATGGCTACGGTTCATGGCCGTTGCCCGCGTCGGCCTGCAGAAAACCTCCGACCACTGACCCGACCGACTGCCTCTGCACGAGCAACTCCGTGTCGACGGTGCCATGCGCGCAACGCAACCAGTCCGTGAAACGCGGGAATCCTAAATTTTTCAGTAGGTCGGGGGCTACTGGAAAATTTAGGACTATTTTGCCTGGGGAATCCTAAATCCTTTAGGACTCGTCCTAACGCCGTTTTCACATTTTCTATCTCAAAATTGGATTTAGGGTTGCATGCAACCAAGGGGCTCGTTCGATACTCCTTGGGGCGTCCTCGAGGCCGAAGGAAGTTTCCTTGGGGGTTTTCAAGGAAATTCCTGCCATCGTTCCACCTGTCCTCGGGGACTCGGGGACGTCGCCCGAGGACATTTACTTCGAACGATGTCAGACAAGAAAAAAGAAAAGAAACAAAAAATCAAATGTGTTTGAGGCCTTCAGCCAATAGGGTGCCCCCACGATCCAGATTCTCCGTTGTAACATCTCTCTACCCATGTGCCCACTCCTCTTCGTGAAACGCGGATTCCTTTTGCCCAGTCCCTTGGGCAAAAGAAAGAAATGGCTGGGGAATCCTCGGAGCCCAAGGAATTTCCTTCGGAGTGTTTTCACTTTTTTTTTTCCGACTCTGCATCCCCGAGGATAGGTGGAGTGAACAATTTCCTCGGGGACTTTACGGCGTTTACGCGCCCGAGGAGTGTCGAACGAGCCCCCAARACACAATCCTAAAAACAGCCAGTTTTAGGGGGGGGGGAAAAAAAAAAAAAAAAAAAACAACTAGCCCCGCTGATGATTTGGGCCGAGACTAAATTTTCGACTAAACAGATGATTGCGACGGATTGGCAGCTCAGAGTTCAAAACAAGGGGTATGCACCGAGACCCCATACAAAGTGCCTCCAACTTTGGGAAAAAGATTCCCCGACCTGCGCACAACCCAGGGCCGAGGTCTGATTAGAAAAGAGGATAGGATAGAATGCCTGAATGTGGACCTGTTTTATGCAGAGATGCAGAAAAGAAGTTCAATCTCGACTTCCTGCACCTCTCCACAAACGCATCCAGATTCAGGCATTCGATCCGATCCTCTTTGCTAGTGGGACCACACCCCAGATGGGACAAGGGCAGAAGCCGGAGTCGACTTTTTCAAAAAAAAATTCTGTGATATCTTCGTTTCAATTTTTTTTTCTTTTTTTTCTGGATTTATGGGTGTCATCCTTGAGCAGGGGCATGCTAATCTATGGTTCCAATTTGGGAACCGGGCCCAGCGTCCCTCACAAAATTAGGTGGGGCCCTCGGCGGGCAAAGCATCACCGGCCAAGCACATAGAGGGTACCACTAGATTTCACCCTGCAGCCAACTCCACAGCCAACTCCACAGCCCATACCACTGAAAAATCAACGAAATTATCATTAAAGTCTAAAGTTCATCACTAAAATTTATAATCACGATAGCCATGTAAACCCTAATTTAGTGACCCAAATTTTCAGCGTCCATTAAGAAATCATGTGCAACATGTGCAAAATGAACTACCGGGAAAAAACGAACCAAAACCAAAAAAAAGAAACGAGCAGTCAGCGCTGCGTGATCATGTCCACCATTCATCCGGAGTTATTGCCAACCCCTGCCAATCTGCCCTACCACCCGCGCGGCAGGGGTCTGTGCCCACAGGCCCCAAACTGCTGACAGAGACCCGGCAAACCCACCCACCTCCTCACGATTTAAAGCGGATAGCACCTTCCCACACCCCTCTTTAGTAAAACACCAACTCCCACCACTATGCTGTTTTCACTAACCAGGGGATTAGCCTCCCTCCCACGCAGAAGGGGCTAAAAAGCCCCGCAAAATGCTATCCGCTTTAAATCGCGAGGAGGTGGGTGGGTTTGCGCGAACTTTGCGGGGTCTCTGTCAGCAGTTTGGGGCCTGTGGGCACAGACCCCTGCCGCGCGGGTGGTAGGGCGGATTGGCAGGGGTTGGCAATAACTCCGGATGAATGGTGGACAGGATCACGCAGCGCTGACTGCTCATTTCTTTTTTGTGGTTTTCCCGGTCGTGTTTACCAGCTGTAATAAAATAAATTAATAAATAATAATAAAATAATTCTGATCAGCCAAGGATGACAGCTGCACGTTGGTGCCTTCCCATGAACAGTTGGTTCATGGGAAGGCCCGTTGGTACAGCGGGTCCCTGTCATCCTTGGCTGATCAGAATTAATTTATTAATTTATTTTATTACAGCTGGTAAATACGACAGGGACAGGCGGGATCCCCTAGGCTAAGGCTTGGACCCCACCGCCCGGCGGCTGGAAAAGTTTTTGCATGGAAGGGCATTTTGGGACCCCACCAGGCCGGCAGGAAGTTTTCCAATCTGGATTCGAACTTGGGTCTGATTCATATTTCAGACGTTGGTTCATGGGAATGCCCCTTGGTACAGCGGGTCCCTGTCATCCTTGGCTGATCAGAATTATTTTATAATTTTTATAGCTGGTAAACACGACAGGGACAGGCGGGGTCCCCTAGGCTAAGGGCATGGCCACACGGCTCCCGAAATGTGCAAAATGAGAATGAACTTCCCCCTAAAATGGCCAGATGCAGGCGCCACATTTTTGTCTTTTTCACATTTAGAGACTGGTGTGGCGAGCCCCTAAGAGGCTCTCTCCCGCCCACACAGGCTGTCGAAAACCAGGGCCGAGAGGGAAAGGAACAAAGTGGTTGAGAAGAAGAAGGAGAAGGAGGAGGACGAGAGGAAGGGAGAAAGGGAAAAGAGAAGGAGAAGGGGATGGAGAAGGAGGAGGAGGAGGACGAGAGGGAAAGGAACAAAGTGGTTGAGAAGGAAAGGGAAAAGGAAAAGGAGGATGAGAAAACAGAGAAGGATGAACCGCTAAGGGAAGTGGAAAGGGAGAAAGAAAAAGGGGAAAAGGAAGGAAATGAGAAAGAGAAAGGGAAAGCAAGGGGTAAGGACGGTGGACGGGAGAGGGTAAGGCCCAGGGAAAGGGTGAAGATGAAAGGAAAGGAGAAGAGGAGGAAATGGGCCCAAAAAGCCCACCAAGAAAAGGAGAAGGAAATGGTGGTTCCACAGGGAGGCGTCGATGGTGGCAAACCGACAAAGGAAGTAGCAGTAAAAGAGACAGACCCTCAGGTACGTGGGGAAAAGAACTTGGACAAAGATATCCAGATGGATCATTCCGACACAGTTCAGCGTAAGGAGGATGAAGTCAAGATCCTCGACGGCAGCGATGGTACGGAGACGAGTCAACGACAGGACTCTGACGTTACTTCTGGTACCCACGACTCCCCGACAGGGGGTAAAGTTGTCCCTGACCCCCAGGGAGGCGTCGTTGGTGGCAAACCGACAAAGGAAGTAGCAGTAAGAGAGACGGACCCTCAGGCACAAGGGGAAAAGAACTTGGACAAGGTTATCCAGATGGATCATTCTGACACAGTCCAGCGTAAGGAGGATGAAGTCAAGATCCTCGACGGCAGCGATGGTACTGAGACGAGACATCAACAGGACTCTGACGATACTTCCGGTACCCACGACTCCCCGACAGGGGGTAAAGAAGTCCCTGACCCCCCCTTTTCCTTTGGCAATAAAAAACCGAAGAAAAAAAGGGGAAAAAAAACAACCAAAACCAAGGACTTACCTAGGGATGTCAACCCTGTTGACAAGGAGGTCCCCACCCCCCTATCTGACGAATCAGACCTTGAATCTGACATCGAAGATAGGAAAGAGGAGACCGAGCCTCCCCAGAATCCGAACTCTGATTCGGATCACCAATCTGAACCCAAAAGGGCCAACCCTCCAGTGGAACTAGATTTTTCTTTTCCAGGTCTGTTTGAGGGACAGGAATTCCTAGATGTTCATAACAGGGAGGAGACACAAGCCTGCAAAAAGGTAAAGGTTAACGAGGTCAGATCTTTCCCTACAGCAGGCTATCGGAATGTGGAAGGAGAGGGGATTAAGGCGGCTGAGTCTTCCCCGCTCCTCAGTTCCTCCCGGAAGAGAGGCCAGTCGGCAAGATCTGCTAAGAAAGCACTTATCAGTGCAGAGCCAATGACCACTTTGAGTAAGGAAGATACAGCCTCCGGTCCAGTAGACGAGTATTTAATCCCACTGATATGTTCCGTTTCACCAATGGGGATCATGATCATGACCAAGAAAAGAACAGACGAATCCCTGTTTATTCCATCGGTTCAGGTCACATCTTCCCCCATTGACAAAAGTCTTGTGAAATTGGTAAGCGATCATGTCCTAAATGGACAAGGGAGTTGTGTGGTGCTTGATACCCCCCGAAGAGGCCGCCACGTGGCGGTCCTCCCAGGAGGTAAGAAAGCCCTGCTGTATATTTCCTTTTTGGCCCTAAATACAATATCAAGTTCATTCGAAGATTGGTGCTCGGTGGGGGGCTTCTGGCTCCCTCTGCACGACTTCCTAACCCAAAAGTCTGACCTGATGACCTCGGTCCACCTACCAGCAGGCCTCACGGCTAAAGAGCTGGTTAGATGGCTAAGGCATACAGACGCAATCTCTACCCTATCGACGGATCAGTACACTACAATGGTATCACAGCTGTGTACGCCGTGGATGGTCCCCAAAGCAACAGACCATCCTTCAAACAGGGCAGAGGACTCACCAGCCACAGACCGCATCCAAAAGAACAGCGGCATGAACCACTGTGATGGTTCTGCCTCCTAGAGTACGCCTAGTAAGTTGGAATATGAAAGGACTTGGCGATACCACTGAGAGGCAGAAAAGATTGCGTCTTCTAGACTGGGTACATTCCGAGAATGTGCAGATTCTGTGCCTGCAGGAAACTAAGATGAATATGGACAAGATATATGAAGCCCGTCAATGGTGGCACGGTCCCCAATTTTGGGCTCCAGCGGATGGGACCAAAGGCAGTACGGCTATTTTGATACATAAAGATTTGGACTGCGTTATCTTAGATTCTTACCTGGACCCAGGGGGTCGCTGGGACTGGGTTAAATTAGTATTAGATACTGAAGAATGGGCGGTCATGTCACTATACGCCCCGAATGATGATATTGTGAGAACAGAATTCTTTGTGCACCTACCGGCCTGGATCCCTGACACTGAGAATTTAACAATCTGTGGTGATTGGAATACCACGTTAAATCCAGGGCTGGACTCGCCATCAGTGACCCCTCTGAGATCGGATAGCACGGTTTTAGCTTCCTTTCTAGACTCACAGGGCCTAACGGACACATACAGGGTCATGAACCCTGATGAGCATGGATTCACTTGGTATGGGCCCCGCCCAGACGACCCGTTTCCACAACCCAAACGTCGTTTGGACTTTATCGCAGCAAGGGGGGTTTTGTGGGACAGCTGTGTTTATGCAAATTTTCAGGTGGCTTCACTCTCGGATCATTATCCTGTAATGATCGATGCGTTGTCAAGGGATCTAGTACAGAAAGCCCGCCCCCCCTTTAGGCTAAATGTTAATAACTTGAAAGATAAGGGGATCCCTCAATGGGTAGGCAGACAAATGTTGGCATGGATGGACGCTAGAGATCTGTTCTTGTCCGAAGAAGAATGGGCTGAGACAGGAATTGGGATTGTCAGGGAAGCGCTTATAGTATTTTCTCGGATGAAAGCAGCGAACAGACGGTGGAAGGAGATAAAGGCACAGAAGGAAATCGAGGAGGCCGAAGCCCTTATGGGCCAGGACCCATTCGCTGAATATTACTGGGGCGAAAGGAGGAAAAATGCCCTTCTTCTATTAGAAAAGCTGGAACTACAGAGGCAATCAGATTGGTTGGAATGTGTAGCGGACCCACCAGGTGTGGTGCTCCGCTAGTGGTAGAGAAGGAGATGGAGGAAGAAAGGGGGGAGCGAGATGGCACAACGCAGCTCCCCACGCAAGACTCCAACGCACGTACTCCAAAATGTGCAAGTGAAGAATGAGACTGAAAACAGACAATGGATGGGGTATACCTCAGCGGACTGACGGGACTGGACTGGACTGGCTGGTACCGACAGTGGTACCGGCCTGGATTGGCCTACTCCGAATACAACACAGGCCTGTGAGAACAGGCCAAGGGGCTGGTCTCACAGGCCAACCCGAAGTCCGGTACAGAATGGCTTAAACTGAGGGGCATTATTGGTTTTGATCGCATGACTAAGTTGTGCTTTAGAGCTTTAATCCTCCAGCTAGCAAAACCACTTGTCAGGGAGCTTTCCCATCCGTTCGATATTCAGGCAGCCGTAGCCACAGATACACTTACTATGTGCTCATTTGCTCTGGGATATTTTCGCGACATTGTAGCAACTTGAAGGCCTTTTGATAACTTTAATACAGACCTGTCTTTGGACTCCCAGTTCTGGGACAGAACAAGTGCATGTATAAGCACTAACACTAGAGATCTGTTGGACTCCCCCCTCACGGAGAGAGAATTGCATATGGCAATTAAGCAGATGGCCCTTGGGAAGTGCCCGGGTCTTGATGGCCTTTCGGTGGAGCTTTTTCTGAGCACCTGGGATGCTTTTGCCCCGTTCTTGTGCCGTATCTTTAACACGGCCCTGGCTACAGGCTCCCTTCCGCGGAGTATGGTTAAAGGCGTGATATCCCTCCTATATAAAAAAGAAGATAAAAGGGAGGTCCGTAATTATGGGCCTATTTCCGTGTTAAATGTGGCGTACAAGATATAAGCTAAGGCCCTCGCAATACGGCTTGCTGCTGAACTCCCCCATTTGGTGGGGTGGGAGCAGGGCGCTTTTGTAAGGGGTCGCTCAATTTTTGAGAATATTCTTAACACGGTACAGGCGCTGAAAGTGATTGGTGCTGAAAAATGGAATGTGGCTATACTATTATTGGACATGGAAAAGGCCTATGATAAGGTAGGCTGGACTTTTGTTTGTACTACTTTGGCAAAAATGGGGTTTGGCCCGGGCCTCTCCAACTGGATTAAAGCAATGTACGCCCAAGCCACGTCAGTGGTTATGGTAAATGGCCAACTTTCAGAAGAATTCCCCCTGACACAGTCGCTGTGTCAGGGTTGCCCCCTGGCTCCCTTATTGTTCGTCCTACAACTAGAGGTACTATTAGATAATATTAGGCATAACGATAGTATTCGGGGGCTGCAGATTAATGCCTCTCTCCATTGGAAAGGAGGGCCCCTCGCAGACGATTTAACAATCGCTTGTGAGAATAACCCCGCCTATCTGAATGAGCTTAAATTGGTTCTAGATGAATATTGTGTTCTCTCTGAGGCTTCCATTAATTGGTCGAAATCAGTCTACTTTCTGCCCTCTCTATTTGTTCTTAGGGTTGATTGGGGCCTGAGAAAGATCCCTACAGCAAACTCAGAAAGATTTCTAGGACTGCAGGTCTCATTTTCCGACTGCTCTAAAGTTCAGGACCAGATACTGGCGGACAAAGTAATAGCAAGAATTCACTCATGGATAAAAAATTTCAAGCTATCGCTATTTGGAAGGGCTCTCGTCCTATCTGCTGCAGCCTTTTCGATTTTATGGTTTCCTGTGTCAATCTGCTTGCTAGGCAAGGAGGCTTACTCCGACATTAAAAAGGTTGCTAACACGTTATTCGTTAAAATAGGACATTATACTGTGTCCTCTTTCTAACGAATTAATTTTTGGTTGCAGCCTAAGCAACGTAGGCATGCCCAT